CATACAACCTTAATGGGTGCGTCAAAGCTCTTTGCTACGGTGACCATAACCTCTGTACCAAATACCCAAAATATATCTTAGAAAAGTGCATTTAGAAAGGTCTAACTATAATATCAACTATTTAGATTAGACAATTATATTGATATATGTGAGAGTTGATAATATCAAGATAGTTTTTATATACCCTGAATCAATTTTGTCTTAATAAGAGGTTAATATTAATAGAAAGTTAATATTAATAAGGTTAATATTAACAGAGATTAAGTATATATTGCAGATTATTTTTATATTGTATAAAATCTTTAACTACAATATAATCAATAATAAGTATATACTTATAAGTGCTATCAAGAAAAAATCTGTTATCAGATTTTCAATATTAAGTTTGTTTACTAAATGCTATCTATAAAAAATTTATTATTAGGCTTTTAATTATAGTTTGTAATAACTTATCACAAAAAATAATTAAAAATCTGATGTTAAATTTTTTCTAGATAATACTCAGTAAACAACTGAATATTAAAAGCCTAATGACAGGTTTTTTCTTGATGTTACTTATATATATAATCTACAAGATTTATATCAACATTACATTAATATTTTATAGATTGAAAGTTAGATTTGTTTGACAAACAAGCTTGGTTGTCCAAGTTTAAATTAGTTTAGTCTAAGTTCAAGTTCAATTTGAATAACAACACCAATCAGATAAACTTTTGTTTATAAATACTTTGATACTGCTTTAAATTTTATACAGTCAAACCTTTCTATAATTACACTCTTGGTTTTAAGAATTTAGTGCTTATAGAAAGTTTGTGCTTATATAGAGGTTAAATTTTATAAGTGCTATATAAGTTGGTTTTAAAAATTTATATGATTATAAGTAAATGTGACTATAGAGGAGGTGACTATAGAGAGGTCTGATTGTATATCCATATAAGTGTTGCCAGATGAAAACCCGGAAATCTGAAAATAGATCACTTATGAATTTCATAAGTGATCTATTTTTGGCGACACTTATAGGATAGATTAATAAAGCAACCAAAATTTAAAATTTAGCAAATCGACCAAAATTTCGAGTCAAAGTAGACCGGAATTGATAAATTTCTTCTAAAATCACAAAATTTTACTAATGAAATAGTAGCCCATGTACTAAGTAAAGCTGCCCAAATGATAATATTGTTGTAATATAGTTTGCTTGTATTATTGCTTAATGCCGGCCTAGCTTCGGGCCTATTTCGATCCATCTTTTTATAAAATTAATCGGCAACACGAATTTTATATTGCTATCTCAGGTTTTACATGATATAGCCAATCAACGCGGGTTTTACTAATCGGCATTGTGGGGTTCACCCTGTCGTAATATATTTTATGAATTTTTCATGTGTATTCATCAATTTGTATGTTTTTTTTATAATAAAAATTAGCCAATCAGACAAATTCCTTCCTATGAGGTTAATATTGCTTAATGCCCGGCCCAGATGGCCCAGATCTGATGCATTCCGATCCAGAATTTTGGAGATTGCCCTGTAAGGAAATAATTTTTATCAGGTGTTTCAGAAATTATGAAAACGGCCGTAATACAATAATAAGGGTTAAATCTCCATAAAAACATGGTTATCCGAACTTCCGGGAATTGTTTTACCCTATTTTAGCTAAGCTCCTCATAGAAAATTATTATGCCGTTAGATTTTCTTTCTAATAAATTTTCTTTTTGAATAAACGTTTCAAACTTCACATAAGCAAGGTAAATAATTAAAAATTAATCATTTCACGAAATGCTGGAGAAATAACGTGTGTTAATCTTTGGCCAATCAGGATTCTTGATCTACTATGGTTCTTGTCACCTATAGTCATCAAAAAATATTCGTCTTTTAATTTAAATGATATTGAAAATATAAACCGTAAAAATAGTAAATTTGATGCTTCTCTTTCAGATTTACAGTTTAATTTTTTTTTAATTGTTTGTTATTTAGTAAAGTATTAAAGGTTAAAGTTAAATGGGTTCTCAAATTTCGGACTAGATATAATTTTTCTTTGGTGATATAAAATTTTAACCAATAAGAATCAAGACACATGATTAAATTTGATAAAAATTTCGGTGACAAGAAAATTCTGCGGATCAGCCAATCAAATTGCAAGATCACGTGTAACGTAAAAAACGTAAAGATTTAAACCAATAGAACCTTAACGTTAAGTAAGATTTTGAGCTACAATCGATTTTCATACTTTTCACGTTACACCTGATCTTGCAATTTGGGGTAGTTCTATAACTTTCTGGGTTCCCTTAGTTTTAGCCAATCAAAATCATCATTTTAAGAACTTTCACCATGCTCTACAAATCAAAAACTAACAACGCAGTCTAAAAGCTAGTAAAGCCTCGCCCTTCTCACTTATGTGAGTATATAACACATATCTCATTCCTTCAAGTTTTCAAACTTTATATTCCGTTTGCTGTTTAAAATATGGAGGTCGGACTATTGATTGCATATGCTGCTTTGGGTATCATGGCCATAGTGCCGATATACTACGGCTCGTTTGCATCAGTCAAATGGCCTAAGGTAATTTTTGTTGTTTAAATTAGAGCTGTAAAGATCTGATTAATCTTTTTTTTTTACTTACTATTTATCTATTTATATCAGAAATCAAAACAAAAACATAAAAGCCCCGGTCGTGATACGGACTCATCTTCAGAGGAGGAATCTTCAGCTGAGTCTTTATCAACAGAAGACGCTTACCTCTTTCCTATATTTGGTTCAGTCGTGTTATTTTCTCTATATCTAATATTTAAATTGTTGGATAAGGAATATGTAAATTATCTTGTTACTGCATACTTTGCATTCTTGGGCGTAGTTGCAGTAACTAATGTTGGAGTTCACGTTATCAAAAGCGTTTTCAAAGTTAAGGTTGACGCTTATAAACTCGTATTAACAAAGAAGGCTAAAGGTTGTTTAAATTTATCTGTTCATATTTTCTTTTTTTTTTTTTTTTAATAGACATTTTGATTAACAATTACTTTCTATATTTCTAGAACTTTACATTGCCAATTTCACAATCATGCATCTCGTGTCTTTTTTCTTTTCCATTATCCTTACTGCTTTTTATGTGGGCACCAAAAATTGGATTGCATCAAATATTTTCGGACTTGCCTTTGCTTTTAACGCAATTCAGATGTTATCGTTGGATTCCTTCAAAACGGGCATGATTCTTCTTGGCGGATTATTTTTCTACGATATATTTTGGGTATTTGGTACAGAGGTTATGGTCACCGTAGCAAAGAGCTTTGACGCACCCATTAAGGTTGTATG